GGGTCAAGTCACCCCCCCCCCCACTCCCCACCCCCCGCATGTCATCATCTTCATACTCGAGCACTGCGTCGAGCACCTCGTTCTCGTCATCGTCGTCATCTTCGGGTCCGCCGCAGCCGGTGGCAGCTGCTGAACGGCGGCGGCGGCGGCGACCGAGTGGCAAGTCGTCGCGGCGAAAGGCCAAGGCGCAGCAGGAGATGGGCAAGGTTGTGGACGGTGCTGACGATGTGTGCGCCTGCCGGTGGGGTGACAACGCTTGCTGGGGCCTCGGTTGCTCGCCGTGCTGCGGTGATGGTGAAATCGAGCCCGAAGTCGCGGTCGAGTGCCTCGTCTGCTGGATCTGCTGTGGCCCGTGCTCGACGTGCAAGCTCTTTGCGTCGTCGGTCAACCAGCCGTGTGCGGTTGGCAACCATATTGTTCCGGTTGCCTGCTGCTCGTGGTTTTTCCCGTTTATCATCCGCCACAACGTTCGCGTCAACGGCGGCCACGGCCACTCGGACATGGCCAAGGGCTGCGTCGGCGACATTGCCATGCCGCTCTTCTGCCTGCCGTGCACCTTTTTCCAGATCCTCCGCGAGGTCCCGCGCTCCGACTGGCAATGGCATCGCTCTCTGGACGAGATCAGCCTCTGCCATGAGCGCTTCAGCATCCTCGCCGATGCCTAGCCACGATCCTACCGCAGTGGAACCTCATTTTCGTTGCGCATGTACTTGCCGTACTTGGCGCGCATCTCCTCCCGCCGGGCGTCCGTCTTGGGCGTTGAGCCATCCGACCGGATCGAGTCGACCCACGAGTCGTAGTCCTCCAGCAGCCTCTTCGACTTGCGCTTCGACCGTTTGCGGCACTTCCACCAAATGCACAGATAGCAACAGCAGAGCATGAGAAGACCGAGGCCACCAGGCCAAGCACAATGTACAGGTTGGCCACAGTGCACTGCTTGGCCATGTAATCGTGGCTCTTGCATCCCGAGCCCGAGCTAAACGTGCCCTCCACGCATCCCTACCATCCATCCACCCATCAAACATGGCAACGCCATCACATCGCACATGTGAGCCGTGTGCCCAGCATCTCCCCCTGCCCTCCCTCCCCACACGATCACCATCAACGTACAATAACCGCAAGCGAGCCATTGACGGCTCCATCGAGCGGCGTGGCACACCACCCGCACCCGCTACGCTTGACACACTCTGAGCATGAGCGCGGGCCTGCGCACTTTGATCCGACAGGGCTTTGTCCGACTGCCTCCTGCACCATCAGGCCCATGACCATGACCACCGCCATGACAGCCATGGCCGCCACTCGTCCGCTTGGAACACCGGCGGTGTGCGACATGGGGAGGACGATAGCGCGAAAGAGAGACGGGGGGAAGTGGGTGTTGGAGGTATGGGGGTGGAGGTATGTGTGTGTGTCTGTGTGTGTGTGTGAGGGTGGGAGATGGGTGTGTGTGTATGTGGGTGGGTGGCGCAGGGGGGAGAGAGAGAGGGGGAGAGAGAGAAGGAATGCGGTTGGGCGCATGTGGGTGTAGCCCCCCCCCCCCCCCCACCCCGACCCCCTCCAATCACCCCCCCCCTCCCCCTCCATCTCCATTGCTCCCATGAAACAGACCACCTTGTCGTTTGCCTCACCCACCTCGCCCTCTGGCCACCCTCCCCTGACCTCGGTCCTCTCCTCGGTCTTCGGCCACTCGTCGTTCCGGCCCAACCAGCAGGAGATCTGCGAGGCTGTGGTGGGTGGCGGGAGTACGGTTGCCCTTCTGCCTACGGGAGCAGGCAAGTCGCTCTGCTATGCGCTTCCAGGATATGTCCGTTCAGGTGTCACCCTCATCGTCTCGCCCATGCTCGCCCTCATTGCCGATCAACTGGGCAAGCTCACCGGCGCGGGCCTCACCGCTCACGCTCTCTCGTCTGCTGCATCTGCCGCTGAGAACGCTGCGGCTGAGGCTGCGCTCGACGCTGCCACGGCAAACACCCCGCTCTACATCCTTGTCACACCTGAGCGCATGGCCATGCCGCGATTTAAGGCCAAGGTCGAGCGGCTCGCTGCGGCTGGCATCCTCCGCACAGTCGCCATCGACGAGGCCCACTGCATCTCGACGTACGGGCACGACTTTCGCCCCTCGTACGGAAAACTAGCCTACGCCGCCGCGCTGCCTGGCGTCGCGCTCGTCGCGCTCACCGCCACCGCCTCGCCCGCCGTCCTCCGCGACATCGAGTCGTCGCTCCACCTCGTCCGCGGCGAGTACACCCTCGTTCGCGCCTCGTTTGACCGGCCCAACATCCGCTACGGGGTCATCTTCAAGTCGCTTACGCCCGACGTTTACCTCAAGCTCCGTACGCTCATTATGCCGTTCCTCGCCGGTCGCTCTGGTGCCGGCATCATCTACTGCCGCACCCGCGCCGAGTGCGACGAGCTCGCCGCTCGCCTCTACATCGACGGCGTGCCGGCCAAGCCGTACCACGCCGGCCTGTCTAAGGCTGCTCGCGCCGAGAACCAGACTGACTGGCTCGACGGCATTGTCCGCATCATCGTCGCCACCCTCGCCTTTGGCATGGGCATCGACAAGCCCGACGTCCGCTTTGTCGTCCACTACTCCATCCCGCGCTCGCTCGAGGCCTTCTACCAAGAGTCTGGCCGCGCCGGCCGCGACGGCCTCCCGGCCCTCTCGCTCATCATCTTTTCAAAGTCTGACGCGTCCAAGATGACCTGGCTCACTGCCCGCGAGCGCGATCGCAGGCTCGCCGCGCTCCGTAAGGCCCGCGACGCCCGGCTCCCGTCCTTCCGCGCCATGTTTGATGCTGCGTCGGCCTCGCTCGAGGCCACCATCAACCTCTGCACCACCGCCTCCTGCCGCCGGGCTGCGCTCCTCGCCCACTTTGACGAGCGCCTCGCCGTCCGCGGCGCCGCCCGCGGCCCCGATGCGTGCTGCGACTACTGCTCCCACCCCGAGGCCGTGGCCAAGGCCACCGCCCAGGCCGCGTCCGTTAAGGAGACCGTGCCTGGCGCCGCTCTCGCCCGCGGCCGCCAGCATGCCGCCCCGCTGAGGGCCGGTGCCAAGACGCACGCCCTCCTCGTCACCTCGGACGATGTCGACACCGGCCGTGCCCACTCGCGCTCGCGCCTCAAGTTCTCCGACCACGACTGCGCCTTTGATGACGTCCGCTGGGCCTTTGAGGACGACGAGGCGCTCATCAAGCCCGAGTTTCTCCACCTTCTCCCTGCCATGCCTAAGGACGAGACCCGGACTGACGCTCAGATCCTCGACGCCTACCAGGCCGCCGAAGAGGTTGCTGCCGCCCGCATCCGCGCCCGCGCAGCCCGGAGCCGCGCCGCCGCAGATGCCGACGACGACGACAATGTCGACGCCGAGTGGAACCGCCGCGCCAACCGCAAGGCTCCGCCCGTCGCCATTGTCCTCGACCCAGCCTCGCCCGTCCGCGAGCAGGCCGAGACCACCCCAGCTGTTCACGGCCTCACCGTAGCGCAGCGGACCAAGGCTCTGTTTGCGCTCCGAGAGGCACTCCGCGCCAACCTTACCACACTCTCCCGCCCGCACACCGGCTCCACAAGTTCGGCCGCCAAGCTCGAGCTTGCCCTCGCCCGCCGCGCCACCTCCAAGTCTGTGTATCTCTCCGAGGTCCGCGACGCGCGCGATGCCATCCGCGCCACGACAGCCAAGACCGCTCGGTTCTCAGTCACCGGCTACACCGCCTCGCTGGCAGTCGTCGGCCTCGCCCGACGCCCGGCACCGGCCAAGTCGGCCCCCCTCCTTCCCACGCCGTCCGCCTCCATCTCGGCCGCCAAGGCCGCCGATGCTGTCGCGGCTGCCAAGCAAGCTGCCGCCGTCGCTGCCGCCAAGGCTGCGGCTGCCGCCGAGCGCCTCGAGGCCGCCCGCGCCGAAGAGGCTCTCGTCGCCGCGCGCCTCGCCAAGCGCATCCACGGGCGCGTCCCGCAAGTCCGCTCCATGGACGAGTTCCGCAAAGCGCAAGCCCGTAATCGCCGCCGTGACCACCACCACGACCGCCATCGCAAGCGCCCCCGCCCGTCATCTACTCCCGACGATCGACCATCGTCGTCAAAGAAGCCCAAGCCGCTCTCGAGCGACTAGCCGGCTCCCGACCCGCATCCGAGCAGGTGATGCGGATGCGTGCAGACGATGTGCATCACGGAAGATGTGTAGTGAACGAAAGCACCGAAGTGCGTGTGTGTGAGAGAGAGAGAGAGAGAGAGAGAGAGAGGGAGAAGGAATCGGCTCGGCCGAATGGTGCGCGCGCTGCCTCCTTCCGCCTCGCTTCCAGCGCCCACCGGCACCGACACCGGCACCGACACCACCACCACAGCCCAGCGCAAGACACAACACGAGACAACATACCACTCAACTACTTTACTCGACAGCATCAGTCATGGGAGGTACCACGTCGAGCGAGCGCAAAGCTGGCAAGCTTGTGGGCCTGTTGCGGTATGACGACTTGCGCGAGCTGGCCGAGGAGGAGAACGGTACGCCTGATGTGGGTGCGGAAAGGGATGGGGATGGGGATGAGGATGGGGATGGGGATGGGGATGGGTATGGAGATCGGGCACGGACATGAGTATGATGTGGTTGCTGACGTGTGTATGGATCTGGTGACCAATGTGGGCATGATACGGTCACGGACATGGGCATGGATCTGGTGACCAACGTGGGCATGATACGGTCACGGACATGGGCATGGATCTGGTGACCAATGTGGGCACGATACGGTCACGGACATGGGCATGGATCTGGTGACCAATGTGGGCACGATACGGTCACGGACATGGGCATGGATCTGGTCGCATGGTCACGGACATGGGCTCAACAGTCCCGACCAAAGACGTCGAAGTCATCTACGAACGATTCAAGATGCTGGACATCAACTGCGACGACTTTGTCACCATGGCCGACTTCCAAGAGACCTTCTACCTGGCATCAGACGTGTACGTGCCGACCTTCTTCTTTCATATGATGGATAACGAAAAGGTGTCCTTCAACTCGTTCCTCAAGGCCCTGCTCAAGTTTCACCCGACTCGATCGCTCGAGTCGCGCCTGGCCACTGTCTTCGAGGTGCTGGACATCAACTCGGACGAGGAGATTAACCAGCAGGACATTGTTCTCATGCTGCAGCGACTCAACACCAACGTGCCGCGCGCAAAGCTCGAGCTCGTTGCCATCGAGCTCACAAAAGTGCTGCCGGAGGACTCGGGCAACATCATCACCAAGCGCACCTTTATCAACATGCTCAAGGAGATTCCCGGCATCGACCGGCTGGTCCGCATCGACTTTGCCGTCGCCGAGACCTAGCCCTCACCTACCGCAAGCTGGCTCGACGTCGACCATGTTGTCCGCATCGACGTAATTGCCCCCCGGCTCCGCCATTCCCGTCCAACACCCTCCAAGGGCACAGCTCGGCATCTCCTCACGTGCCTGCCACCGGTGGCGGCGGCGGCGTCGCAGGAACAGCCGGCGGCGGCGCTGGCGGATCCAGTGGATTGCGCTCGCACCAGTCGAGGATGCGGAGACAGTTGATGTCGCGGCATGTCTCGCACCATCCGTTCTCGTCGACCTTGGTGAACATGAGCCACCCCGTGAGCCCGATGTAGGCCACAAGCACAAACCCGGCGAACATCGCCATGTGCGACGACTTGCGCATCCCGAGATGCATGTTGTCCAGCAGCGCGAGCGCCGCAAGCGCCCCGCACACAAACCCGCCGATGTGCATAAAGTTGTCCACTCCAGGCAAGAGGCCGAGGACAAGGAAGAACACGAGTGAGAGCAGCTGCCGGACCAGGTAGGAGCACGGCGAGCGGACATGTGACCAGTTCTGCAGCAGGTCCATGATGAGCACCCCGTGCAGGCCATACACTGCGCCCGACGGCCCGGTCGCCACAAGATTCGGGAGGAAGACGGCAGAGAGCATAAAGCCGCCGATACCCGAAATGACATAGATGAGCGCGAGCTTGAACCACCCATGCTGCCGTTCCAACACCATCGACGTCGGCACTTGCAGCAGCATCGTGAACCCGAGGTGAACAAGCCCAGAGTGCGTCACCAGCGGTGTCACCAGTCGCCAGTACTGCCCGTCTTTGATCTTCGACAGAACCTTCGCTCCAAGCTCCACAAGGTCCAACTCTGACGGGCCGAAGAACGGGTTCGACTTGAGCGACGACATCGACTCGCCCTTGGCCTCGAGCACGTTGTACAGGATGTAAGCAAAGAACAGGATCTGGATTGTCGACACAATGATAGTAAACCACGGCCGGTGCTGTCGGTCATCGTCGTCAGGCGCTCCCGCCCCTGCCCCGCCAGTATAACTCGCCGCCGCATACGCTGCCGCCGGCCCAGTCCGTCGGTAACTCCGCCCATGCCCGGCCTCGCCTTTCATCCGATACGCCGACACATACTCAGAGTGGTGCCGCTTCCGCATGGCGGCAACATGCGCGGCCCGCCGCCGCGATCGATGGGCTGTCCGCCGGCTGCGGCCATCTCCTCGGCTCACGCCGCCGAACAGCGCGCTTCCGGCGCGGCCGTCGCCCGACAGAACATCGACTACCACCGCAGCCGCGCCCAGCCACAGCCGCCGCGGATCGCGGCCGGCGTAGCCGTTCCGACGGAGCGCTTGCATCCGTTGCGAGGACTCTGTCTCGGCTCGCTGCACGAGAAATGCCGCGAGTTTGGATGAATGTGCCCGGCCGGCCGGGTGCGGATGGCCATGTCCACGGCGGTGGTCGCCAAGTGATGCTTGCTGGCGACGCGGGACAAGCGATCCATGCCCGCCGGCAGCATCCGGCACAGACCCAGGAAGCGTCCCCGAGGCGCCCGACGGACCGAGTGGAGCACGGGAGAACAGATTGCCTGATGATGACTGGCGGTGGGCGTGTGAGGCCACAAAGCCCCCTTCCTGACCCGCGCGGTTGGCCCCGCCTGCGCCGCCCGTCTGTCCACCACGGTGGCCACGGCGGGCCGCATGAGACATACCCCACACAAGAGGAGGGCTGTCGAGCTGTGGACGTCGTAGAGGTGAGACTGAGGTATGTAAGACGCTTGCGGGGGGATGGGTGTGTCTGGGTGTGCACGGCGTCCGTGTCGGGACGTGGCGGGTGTGGGGCGTGGGGAGCGGCAAAGGTTGGGCGGTGACTGAACTGCAACATCCGAGGGACTTCTTTTTTCCGCCCACAAACACTCGCTCGCTGGCGTCGCATCGGCGGCTTGTACCTGGCTGACTGGAGCGCGGCTATTCAAACATGACAGGGACCCGGAGCGGACGCTGCTTCTTGCGGACCGGGCCGGGCGAGGCGTCGGTTCCACCAGTGTTGAGCGCCGAGAGCGAGGAGAAGACCGAGGCGGCAACGCCGACGCTGGCGGGCGTCTTGTGCATGGCGGCGAGGCCAAGGCGAGAGGTCGACGATGTCGCCACCGGCGAGATGTCCATGATGGGCTGGAGCGCAGAGAGGACCTTGGCGGCGCCAGCCACGACTGCGGTCGGGTGCGGCGGAGCGCTGTGATCCGGCGATTTGCGCTTGCGCGACGGGATTTCGGCGCCAGTGGCGGCGAGGGCGACGGCGTCGCCCGCGCCGACGGCCGGCGAGTCCGGCGAGGCTCGACGGGAGCGGGTCCGCGACGACGGTGTTGCGGTCTCGGGCAGCGGGACCCACTCGTTGTAGATGTTCTCAAAGAGCGGCGCGGTGAGCGGGAGCGGGTACGGGTCAAACGGAAAGTACGGCTTGAGGATGGCGGCCTTGCGAGCGCGGAGGTCTTCGGCCGACGACGCGCCCTCTGCCGGCGACGTCCCGGCCTGCACATCCTGCTGCTGCGAGATGAGGTCAAGGCGCTTGTTCTCGTGGATGATGTCGTAGCAATACGCGAGCTGCGCATCGTACGCCATCCGCGCAAACTGGCCCACAATGCCCGCCGAGGTGTATCGCAGCGGGTTGAGCCATGACGAGACGATACGGTCGAGAGCGAGGCCTTGCACCCGCGTCATAAACTCCTCGTTCTGCGAGAGCGCACCGAGGTGGAAGCAGATGGCGTACAGCAGCGACTGCGCCATGGCGTAGAACCGCGAGTGGCCCGAGGCCTCGGCAAACGTCGCCGAGCGAAGGATGCATGTGCCGAGCGAGACAGAGCCCGACGGCGACCGCGGGAGCCGCGCCACCGCCCGGTTGAGCTTCTCGGCCGACGCCGCCACCGTCGCCGCCGCGGTCATTTGCGGCGAGCCGAGCGTCGGCGAGCTTGCCGCTGACCGCGCCCGCGACGGCGTGTACGACATGCGCGAGACGACCCGGGTCGGCGCTGCCGCGGCGTCCACGTACTGGTGGAGCCACAGCGCCATGCTCTCCATGACGGTAAGCACCAAGTCCAGCTCGAGGAACTTGGCCCTCGCGAGATACGAGCCCAGATACGCCGCCGCCACCTGCGCCAGCGACGACGGCGCGCCCGAGGCTTCCACCTTGGTCGACGTCTCGAGGAGGTATGAGAGAAAGGCTTCCTGGAATCGCCGCGACTGCGAGGTGACGTAAAAGATGAGAAACTGCGTGTGCTGAAGCTGGTGCGTCTGCAGAATCGATGCCTCGAAGACGTGCATAAGGAGAACAAAGACCGAATCGGCGGTCGCCTGCTGGTGCTGCGTCGTCTCGGGCGGGATTGGCGACGCCACGGTGTTCTCGTCGCCGTCGCCGTTGCCGCTGGGTCGTCCGCCAAGCAACGAGTCGAGGTACTGGAAGAGCAGGTGCATGAGCATGTCAAGCGTCTCGGCCGACATGAGCGATTGCTGCTCGTCCTTTGTCAGCGGAGGATCAGCGTCGTCGTCGTCGTCGTCGTTGTCGTTATCATCGTCGTCAGCATCGACGTCGTCGTTATCGCCCTCCCGTGCTCGCCGTCGTCGTCAGCGGGCGCCGCCGGCGCAGTGCCGGGAAGCGCCGCGCCTCCATGCTCGTCTTGCTCGTCGTGCTCATCGTCGCCAGACTCGTCGTCGCCAGACTCGTCGTCGCCAGAATCGTACTCGCCGTCTTCCATGCGGTCGAGGAGGATGGGGCGGGCGATGGCGGTCATGGCATCGAGCTTGATGACGTGGTCGACAATGGAGGCAACGATGCCGTTGCGACACATCGGCGAGTACCGCGCAATGTCCAGCAAGTTCTGTACGTACACCGTCTGCTTGAGCAGGCTGGCCATTGGGTGCGGAAAGGCGCGCATGAGCACACCCTGCAGCACGGTCGGCGCGGTGGGGACGAGGGCGAGGACGGCCTGCAGGACCTCGTGGACCCGGGCACGGATGAGCTTGAGCTCGTTGGCGGAGAGCTCGTCCGAAGGCTTGAGGTTGCGGATGAGGGCCGCGAGGATGGGGGGGAGGAACCGGGTGTTGGCCGAGACGAGGTTGATGAGAAAGTTGGCGTACGAGCGAAACATGTCTGCGTCGCCCGACATGGGCAGCGCGCACACGGTGCGGACGAGGTCAAGATGCTCCTCTCCAAACGAAGAGACACAGGTCGAGAGCGCGTTGATGAACTTGATCCGGGTCCGGGCGTTGCTCGACGAGACCTGGGCCAGGACGTAGTGGTAGTGCTTGGACGAGGACTGGCCGGCGGTGACGGCCTTGAGCGCGTTGACGATGTACTTGTTCAGCAGCGCAAGCCCGGTACCCTTTTTCGACAGATCGCTCCGCTGTGTCGCCGTCGACGTCGCCACGGCTGCACCTCTTGCCGAATCGACCACAGCCTCTGACGCCGTCCTCGCCTGCCGTGTGAGCCGGACGGGCGTGGCCTGCAGCGGTCCGTCATTCGTCAGCGCCTCTACCGCCGCTGCCAGAACTTCAGACTCTCCGTTGGCCACTCCTGCCATGACATCCACACCTCCACTCGAGCGTGTTCCCTGCATTGGTTGATCATCCGTCATGTTGCGTGTGTGTGTGGGTATGGGGGGGGGGAGGGGGAGGTTGCGCCTGATGAAACGATTGGAATCAAATCGGATGGCTCGGCCTTTTGGGTCTGTGAGGAAGCACGCCCTCCCTATGGGGGTGTGACGGAGAAGGGGGGGGGGTGAGGAGGGTGTGCTGGGTGACTGGAGTGGGAGGCCTTCCCGGGAGTGGGCGGAGGGGAAGGGGGTGAGGGGGTGAGGGAGGGGTCAAGTGGAGCTGGTGGAGGAGATGCAGGGGTGGTCATGGGGCTGGTGAAGGGGAAGGGGAAAGGGGACGGGCGGATCGGGGGGCGGGGGCTGTTCGTGGGGCACACTGTCAATTGGTGGCGATGTTGGATGATGAGTAGCGATGGTCAGCGATGTTGGATGATGATCAGCAATGGTCGGGGGCTGTTCGTGGGGCACACTGTCAATTGATGGCGATGTTGGATGATGAGCAGCGATGGTCAGCGATGTTGGATGATGATCAGCAATGGTCGGGGGCTGTTCGTGGGGCACACTGTCAATTGATGGCGATGTTGGATGATGAGCAGCGATGGTCAGCGATGTTGGATGATGATCAGCAATGGTCGGGGGCTGTTCGTGGGGCACACTGTCAATTTGATGGCGATGTTGGATGATGAGCAGCGATGGTCAGCGATGTTGGATGATGATCAGCAATGGTCGGGGGCTGTTCGTGGGGCACACTGTCAATTGATGGCGATGTTGGATGATGAGCAGCGATGGTCAGCGATGTTGGATGATGATCAGCAATGGTCGGGGGCTGTTCGTGGGGCACACTGTCAATTGATGGCGATGTTGGATGATGAGCAGCAATGGTCGGCGATGTTGGATGATGAGCAGCGATGGTCGGCGATGTTGGATGATGAGCAGCAATGGTCGGAAGGGGGGGGGGGGGGTGGGGGGGGTATGGGTGCGTGGTCCGATCTGGCGCGACCGGCCGCGTACGACTGGCAGCAGCTCGAAAGACATCAGGGTACACACGCTATACGGCTCTGTCGTCGTCTTGATCCGCGATCTCTACTGTCTCCTCCCGCTCGTCACGTACTCCACCACATTCTGGAACACTGCAGCCGAGTCGGAGAGCCGGGATGTAGCGCCGGAACATGCACGCCTGCCTGCCGAGCTCCAGTCTTCGGAGAGCACCTTAGGCCGATCGCGATCGGGTATGACGATAGGCTACGATTGACGGCAGGGCATTGCACGGCCACCCCCAAGCACTGACCCCTGGCCCACAACATGCCCCTCCACCCCCTTCTGCTACCGTCCAAGCATGCGCCACCTGAATGTGGCGGAGCCCAAAGAAGCCAATCGGCTACAAAACGATGGACATTAGCAAGCGATAAGAGCGATTCGCGCGAGGCCACAGTCCAGGACCACAACGGCTCCAACCAACCCCACTCTACCCATCCTCATTGCACTGATGTCCGAGACCACGCCCGACCCTATGCACAGTATGTCGTTTGACGGCGAGGCCGCCGGCTGGGCCGACGACCCGGCGGTCAAGGCCATGGACGACCTGTTCCTGTCCACCATGCGCGAGCTTGCAGCCGCGGGCAAGCTGACTACCGGCGGCGTCCGCATGCTGGACTACGGCTGTGGGCCCGGATCCAAGTCCTTTGCTCTGCTCCTTGCCGACGACGATGCCATCCGCCCGCGCGAAGTCGTCGCAGTGGACATCTCCGAGCCCATGCTCGCCGCTCTTGCCGATCTCAAGGCCAAGATCGAGGCTGACCACGGCCCGCTCCCTCTCGAGGCTCTTCACGTCGATCCTGCTCCGCGCCAGATCGCCGCCCTCGCTTCGTTTGATGTCATTGCTCCGGGCTACGTCCTCCATCACATCGGTCCGGACATTGAGGACGAGGTCTACGCCACCCTCGCCGGCGCCCTCGCTGAGGACGGATGGCTTGTGGCTTCTGAGTTTGACGACGATGCCCACGCCAACTCGGGCGCTATTGTCGGCAAGCTCGCTGCGCAGGGACTCGATCAGATCGAGATCATCCGGCCCGAGTTTGACATGGAGATCCTGTACGAGTCGATGCGGCGGCGCCACCACGGCCATGGCCACGGCGACGGCGACGGCCACGGTCACGGTCACGGCCACGGCCACGGCCACGGCCACGGCCACGGCCACGGCCACGGCCACGGTCACTCTCATGGCGACGGCGATGACGGTGGATCCGCTCATGGCGGCCCCGGTCGCTGGAAGGAGGCCATTTTCATTCTCGCCCACAAGCCGGCCGCCAGCCCGTAGCCAAGCTTCTGATCGGTAAACCATATTTTGCTACATATCCGACATGGTCGCGCCCTGAACAGCCAGAGCGTCTGCCATCTCATTGCCGTGAATCCCGGCGTGGGCCTTGACGTACTCGACACGGAGCGAGCCGCGGTGCGAGCCGACGAGCGAGTAGATCTCCTTCCACAGGTCGGCGTTGAGCACAGGGTTACCGTCCGACTTTTTCCATCCACGACGAGCCCAGCCGTTCATCCACTTGTTGATGCCGTTGATGCAGAGAGACGAGTCGGTGCGGATGATGACGTTTGCGTCGGTACCGGCAATGGTGAGCGCCCGGATGATGGCCGTCATCTCGGCGCGGTTGTTAGTCGCCTTGCCCGGCAGCGGCTCGGCAACATTCCGCACGTCACCGTCGCCAAAGAAGACCCCGATGCCAGCAGCGGCTCCACGACGTCCGTTGTTCGAGCACGCACCGTCTGTGTACACCACCAGCGGCCCTCCTTCTCGCCTCGATCCCGGGAGGCCGCCACTGCCTACCGACGAGCTTCCCGCCGAAGAGCTGCTGCCCACAGCCCCCGCAGTTCTCGCAGTTCCCGGCGTCTCAATCTTGAGCTTGGAGGCCGCCGATCCGACCGAGGCCAGCAGCGCCGACGCGTGGGCCTCGGCGACTCGGAACAGCTCGCGGGCAACCCGGACGTCTGATCCCGGAGTCACCGGCTGACGGACCGCCGGCTCGGGAACAAGTCCCAGCGACATTGCCCGGGCCAAGTGGTACAGATGCGCAAGCCGTGAGTCGTGGCCTGACAGCCGGCCGCTCCGCGGTGAGCTGGCCCACAGCGCGCCGACCTCGAGCAGAACCCCGCGCCAGCCCATCGACGCGTACGCCGCATACAGCGCGCCGCCTGTGCGGGAGACAGTGGCCATTGGTAAGAAGGGGGTGTATGTGTGTGTGTGTGTGTGGGGGGGGGGGGGGGGGGGGGGGGGGGGGGGGTCAGGGGATGGGGTGAGGTAAGGTGTTCGTATGTGTGTGTGTGTGTTTGTGTGTGTGTGTGTGTGTGTGTGTGTGTGTGTGTGTGTGTGTGTGTGCGGGGGAGTTGAGCTTGGGGTTTGTGGCTCGGCCGGACGTGGACGCGGACGCGGTTCACTGGCTCAGTGAAGGAGGCTACTAGGTGGTGGCAGGCATGACTGACTTGCACGTCTGCCACATAAAGGCCATGGCCTTCTCACGGGCCTCGTCCTCAAACTCGCCCTCGGCCTCGGCAACCATGTTGCCGATGTGGGCGTAGGTGTGGGCGAGGCACTTGGTGTTGGACGGCGAGACGTTCTTGGCTGCGACCTGGAAGAGCGAGGAGAGGAGGACGCAGAGCTTGGGCGTCGGCTCAAACTGGGCGATAAGGACGTTGACAACCTCGAGTGCGACGGCGCCCTGGCGGCGGCGTGTGCTGGCGTCGGGCGAGTCGCCAAAGTCGGCCATGTACTTGAGCACAATCTCAAAGATCGAATCGATGACGGCCTGGATCTCGCGGCCGTACGCAGGGTCGCCGCCATACAGCCGCGAGTTCTGCTCGATGCCGGCGTAGGCGTACGGAAGTGCCTCCTGGGCGTGGGCCACAAAGAGGGCGAGGACGTGGACAAAGGCCTCGAGCTGGTAGTCGGAGTTCTTCTCCCACACGTACGACGAGATGACCGAGAGTAGGGCCTTGGCCAGGTAGAACGGGCCCTTTTGCGGGTGGCCAGGCACCGCCACCAGCGTCGCCGCAAAGTTCTTGATGTACGCCACCAGCCACGGGCCGGTCGACGACACGTTGGCCGAGCGTTCCGAAAAGTGCGGGACCTCGGGAATGACCGAGATGGCGGTGCGGAAAAAGGCGTCGGCCTGCGGGAGCGCCCCGTTGAGCAGGGCGATGCGTCCGCAGTGCAGGTAGAGCGTGAGCCGGGCAAAGACGTCTTCGATCGAGGGCACGGTGATAAAGCAGTACGCGAGGCATGCCCGGGCAAAGCCGGCGGTCTTGCGGTTGTGCTTTCCGCCAACTAGCGCCTTGGTCTTCATCGCCAGGTCCGACGCGCCGAGGACGAGGGCCTGGATGACCCGGTCGAGGTTGGCAAAGGCCTGGCGGCACTCGACGAAAAAGTTGAGGTGCGCCTCAAACTTGCGGCCAAACGAGATCTTGCGGACAAACGAGACAAGGAGGGCCGAGATCTGTCGAACCTCGTCGTCAAAGGTGAGCGCGTCGACCGAGTCGTGCACCACACGCCCGATGTAGAACATGCCGTTGACAATGACCGGGTCGAACGTCGGGTGCTGGTACTTGGCAAAGGTGGAGAGTACGTTGCGCGCCACCTCGACAGCCGCCTCGCCGTCAAACAAGTCGATGAGCGGCATAAAGTTGGCGAGGCCAAAGAGCGCCGTAAAGTCGCGGATGTGCGCCAGAATCTTGGACACCACCGAGGCGAGCTGCGGGAAAAGCGCCTCGTACGACCGCTCGTCGTTGGCCACGTGCGCAAGAATGTCGCCAAGCATCCGGTCCACGTCTGCCAGCGAACAGTGCTTGACCGGATACTCGATAAAGACCTCGGCAACCTCCATGTACGCTGCGGGATCCTCGATGGCCGTCACCACCGACCACACCTCGTTGAGCACCTCCATCTGATGCTGCTGCAGCGGCGGGCAGAGAACAAGGTTGACGCCGAGCGCCCGGTACAGCTTGTGCTTGGGAAACGTCTCGTCCGCGTCGCCCACCATGTTCACAAACTTGAGCGCGTGCTCCGAAATGTACTGCGGCGAAAGGCAGCCGAGCACGTGGTTGAAGACCATGGCCACCGGCACATGCTCCTCGTAGAGCCCGACGATAAACTCCGAGACGTTGGAGCCTGACCCCTGCGTGATGCACGAGAGCAGCCAGTCGACTGCAGGCGAGAAGAGGTCGTAGTACGAGGCGAGCGTCATGTCGCGCGCAAGCAAGTCGTGCTCAAAGTTCTTGGACGAAATCTGCGAGCAGGTGAAGAGAAAGTCGGAAAAGCCCGAGATGACGTAGTCCTTCAGCCCCGGCGCCACCATGTACCCACGCCGGGTCAGATACGTCCGCGCGTAGATGGCCACCAGCGGGTCGCCCAACCCGCGCAACATCCGGGACAGCCGCCGCAGCGCGTCCGGGTACGCGTTGTCCGTCAGGAACTGGTAGCACCGCATGATGGCCATCTCCACATACAGCCGCGGCAGAAGCTCGCGGATCGACGCAATCTTGTAGAACCAGTTGCGGCACGTCTCCTTGGCCATCTGCGAAATGTCCGACGCGTGGAAAGCGTCGCCGAGCTCGCGCCCACAGTCGGCCACCGCCTTGCGCAGGATCCGTTCAAACACCAAGTTGCCGAACGAGTCAAGAATCTCCGTAACAAGCGTAAACTTGGACGGGTAGAACCGAGTCGGCGACGTGTCCGACAGCATCTTGGCCGCCTGGATGGCAATCTTGAGCGCCTTGACCCGCTCCTCGTTCTTCCACGCTGTCTTGAGCTTGTTGTTGAGCGTCTCGATGTGCGAAATATACTCTTTCTGCGAGAGATTCGCCAGCTCCTGCAGCTCGTCGTCGCCGCCGAGCTCCTCCAGCCGGGCCTTGACCTTGTCGGCCGGCACCCGCGCCTGCGCCTGGATGAACGACGTGGTGATCGAGAGCGACTCGGACGTGGTGTACGTCGCCAGAATGCCAGCCTTGCGGTGCTCCCACGGCACAAAGCCGTCGTCGTCCATGTCCGCAGCGCCGCCTGTACCCTTGAGCCCCAGCTCCGAGGCGTAGAACTCCGCGTCGCGGTCCTTGTTGGCCTGCAGCGCCTTGAGCGGGTCGTCGTCGACGCCCGTCAGCGACGTCGCGGCCACAGAGAGCTCTGCCGCCAGCGGGTCGACCACAGTCTCGGTGACCAGCCTGCCCTTGCTGCCCTTCTTGCCCCTCTTCCCCTTCTTGCCGCCTTTGCTCCCCTTGCCACTCGCCTTGCCGCCCTTGGCCTCGCTCTTCTTCTTGGGTGCCTCGTACAGCGGATTGGTCTTGGACTTGACCGCAATGTCCTCCCCTAGGTAGGCGTGCTCCTCCTTCTCCCCCGCATAGTCTCGTGCTCGCGGAGTCCACGACGCTGCCGCCATGCCTACACCTGCCGACCGCGAAAAAATCCCGAGTCGTGTGACCCGTCGTCTGTCGCCGTCTCCGCCGCCCGTGCCACCGCCCGCGAGCCAATTGCTTGACCTGGGTCGATCACTGACTCAGTGACCGCAGCCCCGGCGCCATGCATCTGCGAGTTCTGGCTACCTAGCCAACCATGCCATAGATTGGGGTGGATGCAGTTGAGTTTGATTCAGGTGTGGATGATGATGTGGGCGGTGGCGGTGTGTGTGTGTGTGTGTGTGTGTGTTGGGGGTGCGGCACTCCTCACTCCATGCACTCCTTGCACCAGGTCCAGGCAACGGCCATGGTCCTTTGATGCCTTCCAACGCAGCTATCAGTCGGAGCGGACAGAACGCCGTGAGCTGCTGACACCCAGATCGTAGACGGTCGACGAGCGAAGGCGGATCGAGAACGACGTGACGTGGCCGCGCGAGACGCGGGCGCGGACCGAGGCGTCGACACCGAGATTGAACAGCACGCCACGGATGAGGCCGCATGGATAGTCCAGGTACGGCCGGAGCGCGTCGCCGGGCGCGGCCGCTAGCGACAGGTGCGCAATTCCGGCAAACCGCGTGTCCTTCATGGTCACTGTCCGTGAGCCGTCGCGGCGGCTGACTCCGTCCATGGCGCGAAGATAGACTCGCGGCCATACGTCGTTAGCCACAAACGTAAGCACATCCTCCAGATGGCCGAACCGCCGCCGATTGAGCGACCACCGCTCGGCAAGGCACTGCCCGGTCCGGAACCCGATGTTCTCCACAGACTTGCTCACCGTCGCCGAGCTCGAGCCAGACGAGCCCTGCCCCACCGGCGCCAGACTCGCGGTCACGCTCACTGGTAGCGGCACCTCTACGTGTCCGGCATCCGCATCGCTCGCCCCCACATCGTCGCCGCCAGCAGAGCCGTCACCGCCCGAGCCCGAGCCCGAGCCCGAGCCCGAGCCCGAGCCCGAGCCCGAGCCTGAGCCGCCGTCTTTGCCGGAAGCATCGTCCTCGCCGTTGTTGCTTGTCTTTGACAGGCGGTCAGGCCGCTGCCACTCGCGCACAATCTCGTTGAGAAGGAACTCCATCGAAGCATAAGCCAGGCTCTCGCCCTCGCCCGTAGCCCTTGTCGACGACGACGGTGCACTCCGCTGTCCGCGTCGCGACATGTGTGTGGAGAGAGGGGAGGAGGAGGGTAGGATGAGGGTAGGATGGGGTGTGGTTGGTGAAGGGGTGTGGAGGGGTGTGGTATGTGGAGGGGTGTGGCGTGTGGTGTGGTGAGTGGTGAGTGGTGTGTGTGTGTGGTGTGGTAGTGGCGGAAGGTGGGAGGAGTTGGGGCTTGGCGCTGCACCGGTGGCAGGGTGATGGGGTGATGGGGGGTGGGGGGTGGGGTGACGTAATTATTTTTCCATCTATCCTGGTTGGTATGTTGGCGTCGGCCGAGCTGCTGCCCCTTTGTGGATCATAGCGATGCTGATGCAGGTATCGTGGGAAAAGCTATGGCAGACGGGTGGCTGGTGGTGTAGCGGGCTGGCAGCTGACTAGCTCACCAGCTGAACGCCTAGGCTTGCGAGCGGTTTCGATCATTCCGCTCAGCAGCGAGGCTGCAGCTGTGGAGCCAGTTCGATCGAGCGGCCAGAGCGAGAGCTAACAGTCAAAACGAGCCCGCGCGAATCTGTTTCTCACTTTGTCTCTCGCACTCCACTTTCAAATCCATCATGTCCCGGTAGGTGACGGCATGAGCGACGAGTCGCGAGCGAGTGTGCATGGGAGCCAGCCAAGGGAGCATGCTGTAGAGCACACCCTAGCCTTGGGAGGCAGGTTCGGCCTTGGCGATGCAGCTCGCCGTGCTCAGGCGGCAGCGGGAGGGAGGGAGGAAGGCGGGGGATGGCGAGCGGTTTGGAAGATTAGCGGCGACAAGGCCGAGGCATTTTTGTGCGACTCACACAGGCATGGCCATTGTGGCGTGGACGGAGGACAGCAAGATCCCGAGCGAACACCTGGCCGACTGCGTCGCCAAGGTCCTCAAGTACGCCAACGAGACCAAGAAGCGTAACTTCCTCGAGACTATCGAGCTCCAGATTGGGCTCAAGAACTACGACACCCGCAAGGACAAGCGTTTCAAGGGCTCCCTTAAGCTGCCGGTCGAGGTCAAGCCGAAGATGACCGTGTGCGTCCTCGGTAACGTGACCCACTGCGACCAGGCTGCTGAGCTCGGCCTTGACTCGATCAACCTTGACACGCTCAAGACCTTCAAGCGTGACAAGAAGCGCGTCAAGGCGCTCGCCGCCAAGTACGATGCCTTCCTGGCTTCGGACAACCTCATCAAGCAGATTCCCCGTCTGCTCGGCCCCGGTCTCTCCAAGGCCGGTAAGTTCCCCGGCATTGTGTCGAACAACGACGTCCTCGCCGACAAGGTGGCTGAGCTCCGCTCGACCGTCACCTTCCAGCTGAAGAAGGTCATGTGCCTCGGCACTGCCATCGGCGATGTCTCCATGACTGCCGAGCAGCTCGAGACCAACCTCAACATGGCGATCAACTACCTTGTTTCGCTGCTCAAGAAGAACTGGCAGAACGTCAAGTCGCTGCACATCAAGTCCACCATGGGCCCGTCGCAGCAGCTCTACTAAGCTTGTTACTACCATCTTGAACACAGTTGCCTCTCTCGGCACCTGACGCCCCGTCGTCGGTGCGTGCCCCTCGGACACGTGTCGGTTGCGGGTAGACCCCTCTGCTTGGCAGAGGGCCCGCCAGTTCACCACCAGGTCCCGTCGGCTCGCGGACGGCCCTGTTGGGAGCTCACACTCTTGCACCGGACGCTACATGAAACCACCACAATTTTCCACACAGCTCGCTTGCACCAGGGTAGAGAGCGCCCTGCGTGGCCTGGGGAGGATGCTTTAATGCGGGGACGCGGCAAGGGCGAGCCTGCCGCTACTCAAGCACTCTGGGTGCGACGGCGGGGCGAGGGCGAGCGGATGGCCCGGCGGATACGCTTCAAACATGTCCACCAGCTCGACGTCCGCAGGGACCCGGATCGGCGCCGCGCATGTCGGGCAGGCGACGACAGTCGACGCCGGTCCGGCCATTTGGGTGTGGCACTGCGGGCATTGGACGTGCAGGTGGTCGCGGAGGAGCGGCGAGACGGCAGCAAGCACGTCGCCGTTCGGCTGCTCCACCAGGAACGCCCGCTGCAGATCCTCGAGCTCGTCGTTCTGGAAGAACGGGACGACCAGAAAGAGGCCTGCCAGCGTCTGCAGCACCATGCACGCCAGTGCCACAGAGAACTGGTCGCCGTAAGCCTGGGTAAAGTCCTTGAAGTTGAGCGGCCTGTCGCCGCCTCCCGGCCCCGAGCCGCCAGGCGGCGGTGGCGGCGAGGCCGACGGCGACGGGCCGGGCGCCATGCTTGGCGGCGGCGGCGGCGGCGGCGCGAGGCCCGCTGTCAGATACGGGTCCGCCACCGGGTATGCAAAGCCCGGCGCGCGCGAGGCGTACAGCGCCAGCGCGAGGACGGTGAGGCCAAAGGTGGCGCCGACGCCAAAGGCCACGTGGTACTTGGTGCGCTCGACGGTGAGCGGATGCATCAGCAGGCGCGCGAGGCCCAAGATAAACCATGCCACAAGCGTCACAAACGAGAGCCACATAACAGCAAAGGTGGCCTTGCCAGCGTCATCAAAGCCGGCCCACTCGCGCGAGGTGGCGCGCATCGAGTCTAGCGACTGGCCTTCGCGCCAGCACTCGACCGGCGAGCATATCTGCTTTTGCACCGAGCGCAATCCGATGGTCACCTCGTAGCTGAGGACATGCGACAGCCTGTTCTTGGCCAACTCCACCGAGTACCATGATCGTCCGTACATAGCCAGCAGCTGCAGGAGACCCACAAAGATGACTAGTGACATGGAGCCGACGACCAGGCCACGGCCAAAGGACATGATGACCAGGGAGAGGGATGGGTTGGGTGGGTGGGGAGGGGGGGGGGGGTGAGTGGGTGGTGGTGGGTCGGTGGGTGTCGGTTGGACG